AAGGCAGGGAATACAACCAGCTTCAATTGCCCACCTAGAATTAGTTCCTTTAATTATTTCTCTTCAATCACTCTCACTTCTGTAAGCCTTGCCTACACGAATCACAGACAACTTGGTGCTGGATGCTGCACAACCTGGTGCTGGTGGTTGGGTCCAGCCTCAGCCTGGACACTTGTGACAGAGAAGAGCTTTAGTTCAAGCCTAACAAAGGCTGTGTAGAAGCCAGCTGGTTGAAGCACTTGCTTTTGTTATTAGACACCTTTGTTATTAGAGAGGTGCAAGTCTTTGGACTTTCTTGTGCTTGTTATCCATTTGGAAGAGGGCTGTGAGACGACAGACCCTGAGCACCTCCCAGCCATGCCAATTCTAACTTGAGAGCAAAAGCAGCTGCCATTATTTAGTACTATTTTTTTTTGCCTGGTGTTTCTCTAAACACTTGCAGAAAAATGCAAGATCCATCTCTTCAGCACTGCTAGATAAGCTCTTTTTGTGGGCTACTTGCTTCTTGCTCAGAGAAGTCACTTCTGAGTATCTCAAATAACAAATAAATCCTCAGTGCTCAGGAAGAGAAAAACAGATTTTATTTTATAGCTGGAGGAACAAAGTCCAAATAGAACTATTGATACTTTAGGTATAGGAAAAACTTCAGAGATCTTTGAAAACAATAGCCAAATAGAGGTAGAAACAGCCTGAAGTATGAGCTATTTTGTGACTATATTCCCCAGAATCTACCCTGGACACTGATGCAAGGAAGCAACCTATGTAGTCTCAAGTATCTTTCACTTTAATATGCACACACACACCCCACAAACCCAAAACAACAAAAAATAAAAGCAAGGAAACAAACCAGCTGGGCTTCCTATAGTCTCCCTTTGACCACAGGCCACAATCATTCAAGAAAATTACACAGTACTTATTAAAAATATTATCGTCTACTAACAATTAGTGGTGTCAAACTGATGTTACTGAACCCCAGACGTTGCTACTGGAGATGTTAGCAGGTGTCTCAGATGAATTAATTCATAATGAGATAAACCAGATAAATTTCAAGGGAAGCTGCCTAAAAGTCATTAGTCTGAGGCATAAATCACAGAATGGTTTGGGCTGGAAGGGACCTTTCAAGGTCATCTAGTCCAACCCCCTTGCACTGAGCTGGGACATTTACAACTAGAACAGGTTGCTCAGAGCCCCATCCAACCTGACTGGAACACCTCCAGGGATGGGACATTGTCCACCTCTCTGGGTAACCTGAGCCAGGGTCTCACCACCCTCAACATCAAAATTTTTTTTCCTTAGACCTAGTCTAAATTTCCCCTCTTTTCATTTAAAACCATCACCCCTTGTCATATCACGATAGGCCCTGCTAAAAAGATTGTCCCCATATTTCTTATGGGCTGTCTTTAAGTACTGAAAGGTCACAAGGTCTCTCCGGAGCCTTCTCTTCTCCAGGCCGCACAGCCCCAACTCTCTCCTGCTGGGCTCCCAGCAGAGGGGTTCCCCCCTCGGGTCATTGCTGGGGCTCCTCTGGCCCCGCTCCAGCAGGTCCCTGTCTCTGCTGTGCTGAGGACTCCAGAGCTGCCCCAGCCCTGCAGGGGGGTCTCCCCACAGCGGGGAAAGGGGCAGGATCCCCTCCCTGCCCTGCTGCCCATCCTGCTGGGGATACAGCCCAAGATGCCATTGGCTTCTGGGCTGTGAACACACTGTGCTGGCCCATGTCCAGCTTTTCATCCACTAGTACACTCAAGATACAAGATTACTAAAAACATCTATAATCCAGAAGAGTCTTGGACTTTACCTCTTCAAATGCCTCAGTCATCAACACATTAAGTATATGCACTTGAGCAGGAGAATAGTGAAGGTTCTTCACTAACCTTTACCAGTTTTTCTTTGAGGAAGTCATCCGCCACTCCCTGCTTCAGACTATGCCAAAACACACAGCACTCAAACCAGGCTGTGGCTCTCAGTGCCACAAGTCTACTGACACTGCTTGGAACACCTCTTCTGAGTCTGCCTCCTGCCAGCTTTCTCTAATGCCCCCTTGCCTTTGGACTAGAAGAAACAGTGAGAAATGATCCCCATGCACCCAATACCACACGCGTCATGATTTTATAACCTTGCTTTTCAGGAGCCAAAATCCATCCAAAGGATTAAGGGACTTATCCTTACTAAAAGACTTTAAGATGTATTTTATCAAGTGCTATCCCCCTGCTTTTAATGATTAGTGAGTGGATTAAGCAGAATCTGTGTCTCTGACCTCCACTTTTTGTGTACTTGCCTGTTGTTCCAGTAGCATATGACACCTGCTGCAATTTTGGCATCAGAGTCACCATCAAACAGCATCAAGTTACTTTAGTTCCATGAGGCTCTCCAAGCACACAAGTCTACAGAAGCTGATCACACTCAAACTCGGAATTCCTGAAGAGACCTAAAGGAGATGAGCCAGAGTTAATCTTGAGTACCCTTCAACAGAAGGGTAGGGACCACCCCTCAGTATGATATGGAGGGACTCTTAATGTGATTTGATAGTAACCTTGCTTGTAAACAACACTTGATTTGCCCAGATGGCCAAGGAGACCAAGAGTATCCTGGCTTGTATCAGCAATAGTGTGGCCAGCAGGACTAGGGCAGGGATCATCTCCCTGGACTCAGCACTGGGGAGGCCATGGCTCAAACACTGCGTTCAGTTTTGGGGCCCTCACTGCAAGAAGGACATTGAGATGTTGGAGCATGGCCAGAGAAGGGTAACGAAGCTGGGGAAGGGTCTAGAGCAGAAGTCCTGTGAGGAGCAGCTGAGGGGTCTGGGGTTATTGAGCCCGGAGCAAAGGAGGCTCAGGGGAGACCTTCTCACTCTCAACAACTCCTTGAAAGGAAATTGGAGAGAGGCAGAGATCAGTCCATTTCCTGAAGTGACAGGACGAGAGGAAACAGCCTCAAGTTGCTCCAAGGGAGGTTTAGGTTGGGTATTACAAAAAAATTTCTTCCTGAAAAGGTTTGTCAAGTCCTGGATTAGGCTGCCTAGGACAGTGGTGGAGCCCCCATCCCTGGAGGGATTGAAAAGCTGTGTAGATATGGTGCCCTGACACTGGGTTGAACTTGATCATCTTAACGATCTCTTCCAACCAAAACCATTCTATGATTCAAAGGAACAAGACCTTAGGAAGAGTTCAGAGTGTGACTTAAAAAAAAAAAAAAATTGATGGCAATTTTCTAAGAGTTTTCTTTTCAGTTGTCAAGGAACAATGGCTCTTAAATTCTGTGTATCTGCTGCCTCTACTTTAGGTCTTAGAATGAGACTACTGATGGGTGAAATTTCTGATACATACCAGAGAATTTCCATTCTTAAGAATTTTGCAGAGATTCACTGCTAACTTTTACAAAAAATATATCTAATACTGCATTAGATATATTGATGCACTACAAAACACCAAGTCAGAATGTGCTACAGTTGTTAAAACAAATGACCAAACCCACGCTGTATTGACTCGGGGCTTTTAGTTGCCGCTAGCGTGTACCTGCACCAACCCCCAGAGCACATTCATCCCACGGGCTGCTCCATTCGTTAAGGAGCCTTGCAGTTTTGCTCACTCACACAGATGTGCAAATACTTGAGAACTACTTTTAACAATGGCTCAGTCTAACATGGCAGATCAAGATACTCCAGCTACTGAAGTCTAGAAGATGCTATCACAAGCTGTACCTGAAGTGTACAGAGCTCTGAGGGTTCTACAGAGCACATTGACAATTGGCACAGGATCTCCCCTGGCCATGGCCACAGAAAACAACTGGTTTGCACTGAAGAGCTGCTCTAGCAGATGAACATTCTATTGTCACATGTGTCAAGTTCCCAGAGAACTCCTCACATCTCTATTTACCTGTTGAGACTTATGGACTATATACACTTATTCCACAGCTCATGCAGTAAGGTACTCCAAACTTATTGATGCCAAAAGTTTTATTATTTCAGGCAATACAAAAGCAAACGCAAGCAACCTTGTGTCACCCCACAACCACCATTCTCACGGTATATTGTGACGAGACACCGTTTTTAAATCATGAATTCACAAACTAAGGCTACACAAAAAGTTGCAAGACATTACGTGAGAGCAGAGTGAGGAAGTAGGGCTCTGACAATAACTTATGATCATTTGAGAAATACTGTAATATGAAAGAATCAAATATTGCTCCAGTGTAGCCAGCTAAGTTTAAGTACAATTGTGCAAAGTGAGGCATAATTATTTTATGATTTTTTTTCATTACCATGATAGCAACCATCCATACTTACCAAATTTACTTTAATAATTTAATAAGGATCTTGACACTTGGAAACCTTCAGAAAACAGAATTGAATTCAAGTTACAGATTTACAAGCATGAAAGAGGACAGAGGTGAATAAAGCATTCAAATAAGGAATCTTAGACCAAGAATTTTAAAGACAGCATTTTCAAAATTGTCTACTTACAAATTAATTCAAGGCATTAGCTCTACTCTAATTTCTATGAAGCTTCTTTACATGCCAAGAATTTCCTAAAAAACTCAGTTGTAAGAGGTTACAGAAAATGTTACGTGTTGTCTGACAGAAGAGATGTTCCACAGGCAAGTGACTGTTCAAATGCAGAGTTTTTTTTTTTTAAATACAAATTCTGGCCTGGCTAGGAAATCACAGGGTCACACTCTATCACCTAGGAAGGGCTGGTTTCCATCAAAGCTTCATTTTGCAAAATCTTTGTTACAGAAGTTCAGTGATTATTACAGCTGAGTTAAAAAGAAGACTAAAGCATGCTAAATAATGCAAGGCACACTTCTCAATGTGGAGTATTTATCTCTCTCCTCCATTAAAAGTTCATTTATTCCAGCATATCGGTGATCTTAGCAACTCATTTAAATGGTCAGAGCTCTCCCGTGTAAAATATAAATCACAGCTTCAGATCAGTGTTTACTAGAGTGCTCCAACTGCTCAAGATTCACCACATTTTAAAACAGTCCTCATGAGACACCGACACTCATTTTACAGGCAGGAGCTGAAATGACATCACACAGTCTATAAGCCAGCTGGAAGGGGCCATCCAGACTTTGCCCTGACGAACTTTCTCCGGCTTGAATTTAGAAGACACATCATAGATTACATACTGAGTGCAGAATCTCTGGTCAGAAGCAGATTCTGCATGGTAAGCCACCGTGTTGATGGTCTGCGTCACATCACTGTCTGGTTTTGGCTGCCTAACCAGAATTTGTCCTCCAGCTGCTTTGACCAGCTCCACAAGATCACTCTTCTGGTGACGGCTGAAAGATCCCAAAAAGTAGAAGTAGCATCCATCAAACAACTTTGGCAGCTAAGCAGAAGGAAAAAAACCAAAACAAACAAGTATAAAAACAGGACTTCGCAACTGAGCAGACAGGAAAAAAGTGGAAAGGAACAGTCAGTGCCTACAATAACCCCACAATCTAAAATAATCAATGCTGGAATCTAGAAGAGTAGCTTAACATGTAAGGCCCTCAGTATAAGTATGCAGTCTAGAGAAGCTTACTTATGTGGTAAATTCTTGCTTACGTTTAAATATTTTCCAGCACAACAGGGTTTAACCTAGGAATATTTATAGCCACTGTTAAAATACATGTAATGAACTTCAGTGTAATCCTGAAAGCAACCAGAAATTAGTCTGGTTAAATATACAAGTGCCTGTAAACAGAAACAAGAAGCAATAGAAACATTCTTCTTTCCATTTTCAGAAAACTTCCAGTAGGTTCTAAAGCTGGGCAGAGAAGGACAGAGCAGCATCACTTCCTGCCCCACACAGCTTCTTTCACGAAGGTAAGGCAGCATTCCCTCTGACAAGGTTACAGCAGGGTACCCACGAACAGAGCAAAATGACAGCTTTATGGCTGGGCGCCGTTCTTCCCTTCACCTTGCACATCATCAAACTCCTGTACGAGGCCGCATTAAAATTTTACATCTACCGCACGTGTGGCAAAGGGCAAAAACGTGTGAGCCAAAGGTCAGGAAGATAATGCGTCTCAAGCAATAAAACCCACCAGCTGTTCTCTGTTGAGCCGGCCTCTTTGTGGGCCACCTTGGATTTCGTACTTCTCCTCCTGTTCTCGGATTCCGGTTTGTAGGCAGGTTTGTACCCCTACAAAAAACGCGACAAGAATGGCAAAGATTAGAGATTCTACATTTTAACAGAGGCTTGCATGTCATTTTAGGGACTGAAGAGTTGCATTAAAATAAAAGGGTTACCCACAATGCAAAACACATCATCAAAGCTTGTGTAAACTTGAAAAAAACTGACAACTGCAGTTGAAGATGCAAGTTAGATGGAGAGAGGCAGTATCACACTCCAGTCAGTGCTGTAAACAGTAGGAATTACCAGCTTTTCCTCTTACGCATAAAGGTCAACCACTTAATGTCAAATGTCAAATTGCTGATCATTTGGAAGCTTAAAGCCAGCATGTAGAACCAACTCCGCAGTCATGAAATGGAAGCAATTACCTGATAAAGAGCAATTACAAAGCAGGCACAAAGCTGTTTCTGAACAGCTATGGTCTCAAATAACAAATCAGATAGGATTTCAAGGTCTCCAAGATCAGCACAAACCAGAGATTTATGCTAGGGCTTAACAGTGGCATTTGTTTTTGTTACCACTGCCGCATAATGAGATTGTCTTTTAGTCAACACGTTTTTACCCTGTTTTAAGGCTAGTTATTTTTTCCAATGCAGAATGCACTGATACTAATGTATCCCTCACGTCAGTCAGACGCACTACCTTGCCTCACTGTGGAAAGAGAGGTTGCTGCGGTCACCCGTCCAAGGGGGGAACACTCTGCCTGCACGTACATTGCACTCATTAATAAAAATTACCCAGGAAAGCAAATTTGTGAAGCTGATTTTTGAAAACTGTTCTGTGAGGATTCACAATGTTGTCAAGGTTTTAACTTTTAAAAGTAGTACCTGACTCCTTGCACAGCCTCTCTTACTCAGGCAACTTATTTCCACTGGGTAAATATGAAACCCACAGTACCTAAAAAAAACACAAACTAAACAACACCAGAAGTAAAATGAGGGTGGAAGAAGACTGATCCTAAACAGGAAGAAAGCCCAAGACTATGAAGAGAAATATCACTGCCAGAAGTACTTGGATACTACGGCAGCCAATAGAAAGGAATATCTAATCTAGAGGGATCTTGAAAGCCAACTTTTAGCAATTCACCACCAGTTCATACAAACTCACTAAATGCAGTAAGAATTCAGATTTTAGTTACCAGATGTCCTCTGATGTACTTACATCAAAAAAGATAAACCTACACAGAAACCCACAACTGGATGAATCCAATGACAATATGTATCTCACTACATGCACTAGTATTGATAACGGCAATGAATATCAGTAACTTCTTTTCAAAGTACTTGGAACTCAAAAAAAGATCTAAAAGGGATTTTCAATTTTTAAAATCTTTTCTTTTAATCATCGCCACTCAACAAGACTTCCTGCATCAGTCTGCCTCTAACTTACACATCTATTCTCTCCTTCCAAGAAAATAAAGATGTTAACGAGCATCACTTACAATAAAGGAAAAACGGTCTCATCTAGTCTTCAGAAAAGAACTGGCCATTCATTAAAAGCGTCTTTTATTTCAATCTACCATCAAAAACTCAATTTCAAGGACATTCACTACAGAGCTGAGGGCTTTATACAATAAGTACATCACAAATTGAGCATCCAGTGTCAGCATCAGTAAATGGAGCAAATGTGACATGAAAGTAATACAGGGTTGAATGAATAAAGATGACTAAAAAGGTTTTTTTGTACTGCTAGTTGCCTGAAAAAAAAAAAAAAGTAGTCATAAAAGTGACTAATGTTAGTGGAACGGTATCTGTGCTAGAACACATGGAATAGGTTATGTCTGTTTTGCGTACATGTCTGTCCATTGCATGCTGCTAAGTCCTCAAAGGAATCTGCTCTCCTCCAAGTTCCTTGTCACATGTAATGACAATCCTTCAAGACGGCAAGAAGAGACTCACCTACACGTGTCCTGTTTTCATCGTCTCTGTAAGAACCACAAGATTAGTGTTTGTTTCCTTTAAAACTGGAAATAAGCAAGCAGGCACTTGTCGAGCCGGCATTTGCGCAAGCAGCGTTTTCATTCATTTTAACTTAAGCAGCTACAATGAGAGCAGCCCCGTCTCAACAGACCTGTGCCACAAAGGCTACGTGGTCCTGATGGGATAAAGAGCACAAGTTCTCAGTGTCCTGGTGTTTTCCTTTAACATAAATACATTAAAGGGCAACACTCTTAGGCCTATACACACAATCCTTCCTGAAGCAGCCTCTGCATATTTTTTGGTGATAGAAAAATAGTACGTTTTCAATTTCTAAATTTTTTTTTGTGCAAGATGTAGAAGCAGAATTTGCTCTGACTCATGGATCTTATTATATTCGATAAGAACAAGCAGACAGCAGGTTAAGGGAGGTTTTCTTCCCTCCCTACTCTGTCCTAGTCATGCCCCCTCTGGAGCACTGTGTCCAGTTCAAGGGAGATAAGGAACTACTGGAGAAAATCCAGCAGAGGCTACAAAGACGCTGAGGGGACTGGAACATTTCTGTGATGAGAAAGGGCTGAGAGACCTGAGGCTGTTTAGCCTGGAGAAGAGAAGACTGAGAGGGGATCTCATCAATGTTTAGCAGTATCTAAAGGGTGAGGGTCAATAAGATGGGAACAGACTCTTTGCAATGGTGCCCAGCAACCAAGGACAAGGGGAAAGAGGCATGAACTGGAATCTAGGAGGTTCCACCTAAACATATGGAAAGTCTTTTCCTGTGAGGGTGATGGAGCCCAGGACCAGGCTGCCCACAGAAGTTGTGGAGTCTCCCCTGGAGAGATTCTAAACCTGCCTGGATGCAATCCTGGAAAACCTGTTCTAGGTAACCCTGCTTTGGCAGGGGTGTCAGACGAGAAGATTTCCAAAGGTTTCTTCCAACCCCTACCGTTTTGTGATTCTGTGGAATGCTTTTTGGAACCAGTGTGTTCAGGGACAATTCACGCAGTAGTACCTAATACTTTGTCTACATGCAGGTATCAAGAGAGGAATGAAAGTGATTGGAATCTCAGGCTCCTAAGAGGTGATGCTTCAGGCTTCAACATACTTCATGGCCATCTTCTCACCGGCACAACTAAGGTACAGTATCACTTGGAAAGAGACAGGACAACACAAACAGGGTAACGGCGAAAGAAGAGGTACAAGGAAACGAGGCAAAGAGCATGTCATGCGTCATCAGTCATGGTCTACCTATATATTCGGAAAACTGATACAGCTAGCAACTGATGTTTGATGAAGGTGCTTACAACCCAAAGGTGAACAGTCAAGGTATATCTATCCAAGGAGGAAGTCTTCCTCACTAGAAGTAAGCTAAAATCATTGAAGTGAGAGTGTATGTCCTTTAGCTGTAGGCTTTGTTCAGACCAATTTCATCTCAAGCTGCTGATTTCTCTTCAGCAGCTCCTGCATACTAGAGTTTTTGTATTAAAGAATTAAAGGATTCATATACCATAATAAAAATAAAGAAATCAGAGGATTAAAAGGGTAGTATCCCCGTTCTCATATTTGAGATAAAAGGACAGAGGGCTCACACTGTGTTTCTACCCAATCCATTATGCACTTAGATAAGAACCTTTTTCTTAGACGTCTGTTGTTTTTCCCTTCTCTCCACACAAAACAATCTCAAGTCACTTGCATTCTAGATCACTAATTCTGCATTATCACTTTCAGATGCAGTGACTTCAACTGGATGCAACAGTCTAAGTGAGGTTCTCAAAGACAGCATCATCAGCTTTGGTTGCATTATGGTGTCATTTAGAAGATGACCTTGTGCTAAACCCCCTCAATTTCATACTGAAGAGTAAGGATATACACAAGAGATTAGAGCACACCGTAGGCCTTTCTGACTCTTTTCTTTTTTTACAGCTAGGGATTTTATTTTGACAACTGAGTGCTAAGCTGAGTTCACTCAGTAAAGCCCAGGTCTTTTTCTTGAGCAGGTATTATTAATTTTAAAGCTGCTAACGTGTATAAGTGGCTGGATAACGTGACAGTTACCTTTAATAGGCTCTTCATCCGACTCAGTGTCACCCTGATTAAGAAGACATATAAAAGGAAATAAAATTCCATGGTGTACCCAAAGGTGTATCAGCCCACTACTTTTCCAGGGACATTTCCAGAAGCTATGTTGACCTTCCAGCATTCCTACTTAAGCCAGAGGCATAGCGCCCTTTGACTTCCAATAGGAGCAGTGTTAAAGTGAATCCCAGAACTCCAGAGATTACAGACTCTCATTTGTTTGGTCCTCTTTTGAGGAGCCACCAGTGAGAACCTGATGCCAAGACACTGGTCAAATGAAGAGACTGACAAAACGAGAATTGCTCTTATCCAAATTAAAGAGTGATCAGGGCACCACCAATACTACCCTACCTCCCTTGTAAAATTGAAATGTTATGTACTTGTTATGCAAAAAAACCTTCAGAACAGGACTGCATCTTGGAAAGACAAGAACATTGTTAGAGGAGCTCTATCAAAATGAAGGGAAAAATAAACTCACTTTTGAGAGAGTACCTGTAATTTTTGGAAGAGGTAGAGCTCAGGGTTATGTTGTTTTCCCTTCCATTTTCACTGTCTGTGCATTCTTTACAGGCAAGCCTGGCTAAAAATCCGGTCTGTTATAAAATAAAATAAGACCATTCAACTCATTAAGGATCTCAGCCAACCTTGATTTATTCCTTGATACTAATGCCAATAAGAGCTGTGGGCCTCCTAGGTTTGAGGTTGATCAAGTGTAGTCATTTAACACGTTCTTTTCCCTAAAGAGAAAAGTGTGATTATTGCAACTAGGCATTAATGGCCCTCTAGTTTAATCACAGTAGTTGGATCAATTACCCACAAAAGGGTAAAACTTGTATGGAGACAAGTGGCCTTTTTCCATCTCACATGGACCAGAGCTGTTTTGCAATGCTCAGCTCAAGCATGCACAGGATCACTAATAAAGCTTGCCTGACTAAAGGCCATACTGGGCAAGAGTGCACGCGCAGAGCGGTCACGCGAGGTTCTTCCCTAGAAATACAGAGCATTAGAAGTTTAAAA